TCTTTGTGTTTGTGGGGAATTGACCTCAGGAAGACCAGCCAGTGCTCTTAACCTCTGAGCCCTCTCTCCAGCCCCAGGAAACGGTTCTTTAAACTTAAGTTTACTACTTAAATGAGATCTTGTTTAGAAAGTGGGATTCACCGTGAAAGGAAAGATCAGTCTGGTCTCATACATGTTCCAGTGCTGCACTCAGTCTGTGTAGACCTGTTGTTCCCTTGTGGCTTCCCTTTTAACTGTAACATACCTTATCATGTGGCTTTTAATTGGCAGTCAGTCACTCGGTTGTTTCTAGGCAGGTACCATACTTACCTTTCAAAACTCAAATTGACAGGTATGAAAAGATGATCTAAAGCTGAGAACAAAGTGTATATGGCAGAATACATTGTTTGTTTTCCTTTAAGGTGCTAGAACTTGCACCTCCTACCCATCCAGCAGACATATCCATAGCCAAACTGAGCTCTGAAAGGTAATGATGCCTGTGAGGAAATGAGCCAGCAGAGGGCTCTGTAACTGTAGATCTTCAACTCTGCTCTGAGCTGACTGCAGGTGTATCTGTGTTAACTGTACTGAAGGCATGTCCTTAAGAAAGTATTCAAATTAAAAGAGCTGCTACTGAGTAGGGTGTGTGGTCTTTTCCTTTGCATCCCAGGCTTCTGACTCCCTGAAGAGGCAGCTTTAGTACTGCTACCTATGATTCTTCAGACACAGACCTGGCAGTGTGCAGCTGAAGCCCGTGTCCCAGAATTTTAAAAAATAGACCACAGACTATATAAAGCAAAGTCAAATTTTCAATAAGAATTTATTCAAATATTACAAAACAAAAGGAATAAGAAAATAACCACACCAAAGTTTATTCAAAAATGCTTCTTTATAAATTAGATAGTGCTACCTGTTTGTTTTACAGCACGTGTTTGTAAGCCTTCAGTTGTGTTAACTTCAGGTGGTGTCAGAAGTTGACATGATTTCGGATATCATTGATTTGCTTCACCATTTCCCTTATGTGTTCACCCCTGCAAAATCATCAAATGATTCACTTAAAAAATGAATGAGCCATTAGTATTGAGTTGTAAGATTTTTTTTCCCCATCCCCAGCTTTGAGACAGGGTCTCTCTGTAGCTCTGGCTGTCCTGGAACTTGCTCTGAAGACCAAAGCTGGCCTCAAATTCAGAGATCTATCTGCCGCTGCCTCTCAAGTACTGGGATTAAAGGTGCCACCATGCCCATGAGCCTAAGAATTTTTAAACTCTCAGAGTGCAATAGACTTAAGAATGGCTTGAAAAGGTCTCAGGTAGGAAGCAATGGTTTTCTGTGTGGTGTTGGGGACTGAACCCAAGGCAGCACATATTCAACAGATGCTTTGCCCATGAGTTATATATATAGCACAGCCCAGGTAACACTGCTAATCATATTCATGGGACAAACTTTTGGTTACACAACAAAATCATTATAGGAGAGTCACTATAATTCATCTCACCATATTTATTCATTTATGCCTGTGCCTATCATACCATTCTACAAGCAAATTCCAGACTCAGGATTCTTATCTAAGCAGACAGGCAACTTTTTGGTATACTGCCAAGGAAAAATTGTCTCACAACAGTAGCCGACTGGAAAATATCAACTTACTCTTCCTTCAGGATGGACTGAATGCATTTTCGCTGGTAGGCGCTGAGAGAAATGGTAGGTTTCTGAGGACTCAGCACTTTTTCCATCTTTCGCTGTTGATAATCCTTTTTCATAGTAACCTAAAGTATTGAACAGAACATAGATATTTTGACCATGGTTTGCCACACATTTTTATCGTACCTATTTTACTGTTCACATTTTTCTTGCCTGTTTGATGGCATTGCCTAGATGTCGTAGTTGATCAGGTATCAGCTGTAACTCTTTCTTCATGTCTCTCTCACTGTCAGAGAGAACTGGGAGCTGAGTATGAAAACTGTGAAGCACTTTTTTCATCCTTAAGAAAAGAAGGAAATGTGGGTTAAGACGGCTAATTATAACAGAAACACATAGTGTTTCTAATTCAAGAATTTGTCTGACAGGAGTTAGGGGACAGTATCAAATCTTTCCTGATACTTCAAAGGACTGGAGTTCTATAGGTGTTGAGCACTGGCAGTACCCAAATACTTGTTAAAATCATTAATCCTGAGCAGGGAGGGAACTGGATGCTTCATGGCTCACTGACCTGTTCATAATATCTTCTTGCTTTTCTTTGGCTTCCTCATACTTGTCAGCTAAGCGCTCAGCCATTTCCCGTAGACTTTTCCTGGAGGAATAAAAAACTCTTGGGGTCCACATGATGTGGCACAACATCCTGAGTGAGATGCAGCCCACGACTCCCCATTGTTTTCTTCTCTTTGGTTTTGACACCTACCTCTCTTCTCGACAGTAATTGAGGTCTTCTAGTTGTTTCCTCTTTTGGTCACATAATAATTTGACCCTTCGAAAAGAAGTAGTAGTAGTAAAGGTTAAAGGAAAGCCAGGCTTCTACAGGTGACTACAATGAGTCAACACCTAGCAATGACTAGTGGCTGTTCAACACAGGATACTGTACCTCCGCTGAATTTCTTCCTTGGCAAAGTCCTGCTTGAGAATGTACTGTTCTCGAAACACCTGGGTGGCTCTGCTGATAAGCTGAAGACATTCCTCGGGAGGGGGAGCCAAATCCTTTTCAGACGATCTTTTAGAACAGTTTCTGTCAGTTAGCCGGGTAAAGTAACCAAACAGACAAGTCCTACCTACTTTTTGTTGTTGTTTGAGACAGGGTTTCTCTATGCAACAGCCCTGACTGTCTTGGAACTAGCTTTGTAGACCAGGCTGGCCTCAGAGATCTGCCTGTCTCTGCCTCCTGAGTGCTGGGATTAAAGGCATATGCCCTAGCTATTTCGTCACCCCCATTTAGCATTTTTTCAGGTGCCACTTCTGACTAGCTGATGAGATGTGCCATATCCCCTCCCACTGTACCACAGTAAGGACAGAAAGGGCCAAAAGCAAGGATGAACACTTCGTAGCAAGCACAGAACCCCTAGGTTCAATCTCCATTTTAAAGAAAAAGCCTGTTCTTAAAACTCATATGCCCCAAATCCCATACTTAAGAAATGCTGGGTTGGCAGCACTACGTTGCAAGATGGTTTTAATATGCTTCTCAAAGGAGTCTGGGGTTTCAGCCAGGATACGCAGTGGAGACTCTGCCACTTCAGCATCTTCTCGGGTACACAGCAGGGGAGGAGATGCTGGGTGGACTGTACTTCTGCAAAACAAAGAAGTCATGTCCACTATGGAGCTAGTTGTTGCATTACAGGATGTCATTAGTCACACTTAACCAAAACCCAGGGACATAAAGCCCTAAAGTGCTACTTTTGTAAACTATAAGAATGTGTGTTCTGTACTGAAAGGTCGTCTTGGGAAGCTCCTATTTTGCCATTTGTCTCATCATTTTGGACTACTAAAATTCTTTTTGAAAAGATCAAGGCAACTCAAAAAGATAAATCCCAAGGCCCCTTTCTTGCAAAGGACTCAAGCCAGCACTATTACACTAACCACTTGTTTTGGGACATAGTTTAGATCTGATAATTGCTGGTGTGGGGCTAGATGCCTGCTGTGTACTACATTTGCTTCTACATAACTATTTTTAAAAGTTACACTCGAGGGCAAACATTTTCAAAGGCAATTTCCATGAACTTCGGCAGTACCTAAGTAATGTACATTGAGGGCAACAATTCAAATTTGTAAGAGCTTTAAAGAGTGTTAATATACAGACGACTTGTATTTTGGACAGTTGGCAGAAATATGATGAAAAGGTATCCAGCTAATTATGAATTTTCTCCCCCTCTGAGGTTGATGTTTTTATTGTCCAAATAGTGTGACCATGTTTTATTTAAAACACTAAAGGTGCTGGGTAGTGGTAGGGCACCTTTAACCCCAGCACTCGGGAGGCAGAGGCAGGCACATTTCTGAGTTCAAGGCCAGCCTAGTCTAGTCTACAGAGCGAGTTCCAGGACAGCCATGGATGTACAGAAAAACCCTGTCTCCAAAAAAAAAAAAAAAAAAAAAA